CACGAAGTCCGGCCTTTAGTCCAAATTATCCCAGCTAAGCTGGAATTCGACAGGAGATCCCCGGCACCAAGATCGTGTGGCTGGAGGTGGAGACATCGCTGCTTTGCGCAAGTCGGGCGCCGACAGATGTCACTTCACAGCCCTTACAGCTGCCACAATTACATTCTTGAGCGAAAAATACGGTTTTAGAAGAGCTTCTTGGACGATTTGGGCTGGAGAATTGTCTTGACATAGCCTCAGAACCAGAGAGGAAAAGAATCCGAAGCCTTGCCAGGCCTGGGACAATCCCTTGAACGAGCGTTTGCGAGCGACCATTGACCTCAGGATCGGCGTCATGAGCATCACACTCCAGAGCAGCACACACCCAGCGTCCTTGCTCCTAGTAGTATGGCCAGGAGCCCCTCCAATACCTCCAGCGTCCCTGCCAGTTGAGTTTAACTGATTTGACCATGTAGGAGCAGAGTGGCAGCAAGTCTGCTGGAGTCGACATCAGAATTGACTATTCGAGATGATTGTTCATTCCGCTTGGCAAACCCCCATGACCTCCACAAACCGCTCATGCTGAAAGCAGAGAACTATGAGGTACTTCAGCACATTCGCGCAGGAATCAGTGCGGGGGAGTCCCTTATCTCTTCAATCGCAAGACTGGCAAGGCAAGACTGGGGTTCTTTCGAAGAAATGGACCGCGTCGCTTGCGCGCGGGGGGCGGGGGTAGGCAGCTAGAGGTAGGTAGCAGCTAGTAGGGAGAGGTAGCTAGTACCTACAAGTAGCTACTACCGACAGGACGCAGGATAGCTCACGCTTCTTCCAGGAAGCTCCCCCCGCCACGTTTAGGGCAGCGGGGGGAGCTTCCTGGAAGAAGCGCTCGCACTAATGACTGGGTTCCAGATTTTTAGGGAAACTTAACTAGTAACAAGAAGCTACTAGGGGCTCCTGGCCATACTACTAGTAACAAAAAGCTACGAACGGGGCCTTCAGTCTGTCTTGGTGCAGTCTGTGAAGAGATGCTGTTTTTCCCTCGCCCAAAACATCGATCCTTGACGATAAAAGGGACTTGCAACTGGTAACACTAAGGAGTTGTGCAACTGAAGCACAGAGCCAGGAGTTATGTTGAAAGTAGCTTCTGATTACTACTAGTAAGGCACTTGTTACTAGAAGCGATGCACTTGTTCCTAGTAGCTTATTGTGTCTAATCAAGATTGTTTATTCGGCAAAACAGGGAGTGAAATTCTGTCAAGCTTGTGCTGCACCTTTGAAGAGCCCAGCGTCCCCTCACAAACCGATCAAAGTATGCAGGTCTTGTGTGGTGTTGTGGCCTATGACAAGCTTAGGGCTTGGGCCCAGGCCAGATCTTGTGGAAGTCCGGAAAGAAAGAGGAAGAGCGAAAACAGAGTTCCAAGGACGAATAGAGAAAGAGGAGGTATGATGATCTACAGAAAAGCCTGTTGGCTGTTTGGGCTGAGGTGATCCAGTCATCACCTGAATAGAAAATTTAAGATATCTCTAGGGTCGACTCAGAGGTGCTATGAGCCAGGACGCTACGAACGGGGCTCCTGGCATCGCTACAAGTAACAAGAAGCTACTAGGGGCTCCTGGCCGTACTACTAGGAGCAAGTCCTGCCCTAAATATATTGACCCGGCAAAGAATCGACGTAAGCGGGCTTCTTCAAGGAAGTGTTTACCTTGGTTCTGCAGCAAAGTGCACTTGAAGCACTTCAAGTGCATTGATTTGAAAGGATATCATTGAAATGGAGACCATAAAACATTGATTCTCAAGAGCTCCATGAATTCAATATGTGAAAAAGGAATGACGAGGTCATTAATTACTCCCAAATGAAAGGTCGATCAACAAACAAAAGAATAGTAAAGTAATATTCTGATGTTAAATTCTTGAGTGTTTCTTTTTCGCAGTCCTTTTCTCTCGCCAGGGCTTGGGCGGTGATGCACGCATCTACCGGGACATTGGCCAGTGAACTCCGTGAACCAGGGCTGCGCAGAAGTTAAGTCGCCATGAAAAAGTGTCAAACAGACTTAGTCAAACCAAGTTTCAAGAACAAAAAGGCATCGCTACGAACGGAGCGATTGGACGCTACGTTCGGGGCTCCTGGCCTTACTACTAGGAGCAAGGACGCAGAGTTTCCAGCGAGTTGTCGAAGAGTTTCGCACTCAACGCAATGTTGTTTACTTTGCCAAGCCAAAATCTTCTGGCGCCGCAAAGCGACAGCCTGGGGCCGCTTAGGGAAGGTTCAGAGAGCGCAAAGGGGCCTTTCAAGGCCTTCCAAGGCCTTAGCTTTATCACTGAAAGAAAGACAAGAAAAAATAGGTCCAAAAGATAAGAAATGTGTGCTAACCTAATAGCAATGGCCTCCAACCTACTAGCGATGGCCTCCAACCTAATAGCAATGACCTCTAGGACTATTTCAGTTTTACTTTATGGTCGTTACAGGTTTGCTTTCAAGACATTCAAAAAAGAGCTGAGAGCAGCATCCAAGATTCGCACGCCCACTGTCCGGTGGTCGTTGGTTTTGGTGCCGAAGGCCCGACGAAATTCGTCAGGCTGACGGGGTGCAGTTAGAGAAGTGATCTCAGGAGGGCGGAAAAAGGATCCAGATAGAGTGTCCGGTGGACAAGACCTTAGAATCATTAGCTCAAAGCTAAAAAAGATCCGCTTTCTTTCCTTGGCACAAAAGGGCTGTGGTAAAGCGCGGTCAAGTTCAAGACCTATTCACATCGAAAACATCAAGTCAGTGTGCTCGTCCTTTCTGTTCTCCCCTCCTGGGCGCGTGACCAGGATTCTAGGAAAGCGAGCCACTTTCTCGAAACAAACCACTGACTCAAGCCCTTCAAGACGTTAGGTTTCAGGGCCTCAAACTGTCATGACACAGGCCATCAAAAGTGTGGCCACCTCACGCTAAACAAGGAAAACAGGTCACGGTGAATCTCACCCAAGTTCGACTGCACCTGACCATCCAAATCAAATGAAGTTGTCTATAAACACCACGGCCTCTCAGACAGCCACCCTCTTCCGCCATCATCTCAAACCACTACGACATTGAGTAGAAGAGGCTGACACCACGCCAGTTCGACTTGAGGTGGCACATAGCCCGGCTTCCTCGCCGGTTGTCTACGCTGGCGAAGATCTGGCCATTCTCCAACCCAAGGTGACCACACCTGCAGTGATGCCATCCGAAGATGGTAGAGCAGCAACCTCCGTGTCGTACAGCGTCTTCCTCCAACTCTCATGTTTCACCATCAGCACTGTGAGCATGCCCTGCTGGATCTGAGCCCTTCGGAACGAAGTCTCTCAGATCTCGGGACTTCCGAGTGAACTGGGTCGTCTCACTTCTCCAGGAACACCCCGTTGAGTAGTGCCACGCTAGTAGTAACAGGTGCCTTACTAGTAGTAACAAAAAGCCATTAGGAACAAGTGCCACGCTAGTAGTAACAAGTGCCTTAGGTCCAGCCGGCAGATCACTCTCTGAGGGTTCTTCCCGTTGAGCCGTCGCACGCCTCAATGACACTCCCGTGACCTCAAAGCCAGCCTCGCCCCGACGCTGAAGCAATCCCCTCAGCAGGCGCACGCCTCACAGACATTCCGGTGCTCCCAAAACCAGCTTCGCCCCTGTAGTAGATGATAGAGTCGTTGAGGCCACCATTTCTTCTCCAGCATCAGTTGGCCGATTCGGTCACCAGAGTTGACAAGGAGCACCTCCGATCCATGATTGACCAGGATGGCCTTCACCTCACCCCGATAGTCAGCATCCACAACACCTCCTGCAACATCGACTCCCTTCATCGCCAGAGAGCTCCGGGGTGCAATCCGCCCATAACAACCAGGAGGAAGTTCAAAAGCTAGGCCAAGTGGAATGAGAGTTCCCCAGGTTGGATCTCCAGGTCTACTGCTGACGCTAGATCCCAGCCCGCTGCATTTGGAGTGCCCTTGGTGGGAAGTGAGGCATGATCGCTGATGATCTTGACCTTCAAGGTGTCCCCCCCTTGAACAGCAACTTCTTGGCATAATGCCACCCCACATCCATCACCACATGAAGAAAGCACACCAAGCCGGCCAGAAAAACCAACCAGCCTTGATCAGCCCATGAGCCTGTACTGGAAGACCCCTGAGCGTCACCCGAAGCTTCACATTCATCAGCAGCACACGCTTCCGCCGCTTGCGCCCCATTCAAAGACGCACCCGCCCTCCAACTTCCGGCGGGCGAGTGTACCTGTCTTGGTCATCTCCTCGAAGTGGAGGTCATAGACGAAGGCAGCGCCATCGCCCGAGCGGCTGGCCTCCAAACGGCTGAACTCATGAGCCCGTCTCTGACCGTGACAAAGCCGCCGTTGAAGTTCCTCAACTGACAAAGCCGATAACACAGTCTTCTCCGTCACCCTCCGACAAGGGACAGCAGAATGGCCAGGATATGAGCAGGCTCCGGTCTCTCCTCCACATCAGCCAGACCCCCCCACTTGTGAGGCTCATGTCCGAATCTGTCTCACAACTCCTGGCTTTTTCCTCCCTCACGTTCTCGGTGACAAGGTTCTGGATCATCACTCGAAAAGCTTCTGGACCTTCCCTTAGCGGGCTGACACCTGAAGGTTCTGCTGCCATCAGCTCCAGCGACTCCTTCCATCTGACCAAAAAGACCCTGATGCCCCCGCTTTCGGGGGTCCTTTCGCTTGCTTCCTCGCTCATAACACAACAATAAAGGCTCGAAACCCAAAAGGGCTGTGGTAAAGCACGGTCAAGTTCAAGACCTATCCACATCGAAAACATCAAGTGTGCTCGTGTTTTCTGCTATTAGGACTTGATCAGCATAGTTGTAAACATCAAGCCTAGTACAAGTATGCAGCCTCTGAAACCCAACTGTTCAAAAGATGCATACGCGTAGAGACCTTGTTGCTTTTAGTAGCAATAGCTATAGTGACGTACACAACAAGGTTACCAGGTGAGCATGGCATCATCGTCCCCAGCGAAACTGTTGGCTGGGCTGAACTGGTGCCCCTTTAGAGCTGCAACATCACTGTAGCGTCCTTGCTCCTAGTAGTAAGGCCAACATCACCTTGCCAGTCTTGTCACAAAACTCAGCTTAGTGCTGCACCCTTAAAGTCTTGAGGCCATCGCTCGTAGGTTGGAGGCCATCGGAGTTCTCCAATCTTGGGACTGCTGTCGTTTGGGCTCAATTGCGTTGTGCCTCAAAAGGGCAAAATATTGGATCCTGACATTTCTGACACCTGGCACGCCCTGACAAAATGGCCGGGAGCTGAGTAATGAGAGTAGCCGAAGTTCTGTTTCTCGATGATGATTGAAGCTGCCTGTCCTCCTTTGAAGATTCTACGACACCACAGGATGGGCGAGGCTAGAAGGCCACAAGAGCCTTGCCGTAGCATAATTTTGTTGGATTGAATTCTGAATCAGCTCCTAGACAGTGTATTGTTGCTCTAACAAACAAAAAATAAACAAGAAAGAATAAGGTCCGCATAGAATCCTTGCAGACACTAGCAAGAGATGGCACGGACAAAGACAGTACACCACAAAAGAAAGAAAGAACGACCTTGTCCATTTTCCTATCTTACTTATGTCTTCTCTTTTTGAAGGGAGGAGGGACGCTACTAGGGCTCCTGGCAGGGCTCCTGGCATCGCTCCTGGGAGCAAGGAGGCAAGTTGGAGAAGTCGGCTTTCCGGATGCCTTGCCTGATCTTCCCCTGCTCCAAGGCCTCACCCTTGAGAAGCTTGTCACGTGGCGCCTGGCTTCTCAGAGCCCTTTGAGTTGTGTCATCAGGATGCATAGATGCAACATGATGCAACTTATTAGGCCTCCAACCTACTAGCGATGGCCTCCATGATTCAACTTATGTGAGCTCATTTGCCTTGTGGTGGAAATCCATGGGGCCTTTGCCTGATCCTTGCTCTGCTGCTTCGTCTACAGCAGGGTTTGCGACAATTTCTTCCAGATTCAGAATGCTCAATGCCAATCACCAAAGCAAAAGTGAACAGAGCAAGTCCAGTGAATCAGTGTTCCAACTCCACCCAAGACCCACTGGTGCATTTGGTGCATCTGAGTTGTAGAAGTACAGTAGTTGCAGCAGCAATATGTTTGCCAGTGGCTTGAAGGGGGTTTGCAAAGAAGAAAAGAGCCCTCCAGAAGAGTTACTTAGCTACATCTTTCTAGAAGCAGAACGGCTTATCAATTATTTATTGTTTTCCATGCTTGCTTTGAAGGTTTTAACCTTGACTATGAAAGAATGTCTCAACAAAAACACTGTATTTAATCCTTTCTGTGGGAACAAGGCCTTGTGTTTGTGCTTCTGTTTTTCAAAAGGTCTAAGAAATCTGTTTCTTCTTGTGTGTTCTTCAGAAATCTGCAAGGCAAGCGCTGCTGGTGTGTCGCTGGGGGCTGCTGTGACACCTCGGAGCGCTCAGGGCGCTCGGGTTCCCGAGAGCGGGGGATCTGTGGATTCGGCCCAACACTCGAGATCTGGAAAGAAGAAAAGAGAAGCGTCCTTGCTCCTAATAGTAAGGCCAGGAGCCCCTAGTAGCTTCTTGCTACTAGTAGCGATGCCCTTTGCTCCTAGTAGCGCCCTTGCTCCTAGTAGCTTTATTGTTCCTAGTGGTAAGAATGCTCCTAGTAGCAATGCCAGGAGCCCCTAGAAGCGATGCCCTTGCTCCTAGTAGCGTCCAAAGAAGAAAAGAGAAGCGTCCTTGCTCCTAATAGCGATGCCAGGAACCCCTAGTAGCGATGCCACGAGCTCCTAGTAGCGTTTAACAAGTCTGTTGTTTTCCACCAAAATGCAATAAACAAGTAAAAAGCAGGAAGTAAGTTGGAAGCAAGTGTCTTGCTGATCTTCTTGAGACCGCCATATTTTTTGCGGTGCATAATCTTGAGAGCATCCGCCATCTCCAAAGACTTGCACTTGCACCTGGAGATCCTGGCAGAAAATCCTGGACTCTTAACTTGGACTTTAAAGCCTGCCATCCGTCAGTCGAATTGTTCAAAGTTGAGCTGGAAACTGGGCTTAACTAAGTCTGTGTGCTTTCCTGGGATCAATCCATGAAGCAAAGTGGCGTGAGAAGAACATAATGCTAAGTGGGAACAGGCTCGAAACTGTACAAGTGAACTGAACCACCCGCTTCTAGAAACGAGCGTCAGCCGCCCTCCTGAGGCAGCTTTGGCTCGCGCTGCCTCCAACCACTCGATTCGATCCGTGAGCTCTGGTGTCAGGACACCACGTCGCCACTAGCGATGGCCACCCGAAGAGCGTCGCTCCTAGGAGCAAAGCGCATGGCTATTAGAAACAAGAAATAAATATCAAGTAATTAGAATTAAGTTTAATTAGAATTCGAAGCAAAGGAAGCTACTAGGACCTTTTCGCGCGCGTGCACGGGCGGGTAGGAGCAAGGACGCTACTAGGGGCTTCTGGCATTACTACTAGGAGCCAATAGCTACTAGTAGCATCCGTGCTTCGTTTGTAGCCATGCCCTGTGTTCCTAGTAGCTTCTTGCTCCTAGTAGTAAGGCCAGGAGCCCCTAGTAGCGTCCTTGCTCCTACTAGCGATGCCTTCCAAATGCAGTCAATTTGAGATATTTTTTCCCAGCCCGCTCCCAGCTACTAGACTAAGTTTGCTCCTAGACATGGACACAGGATTGCTCACGCTTCCACTAATCGTTTGGTTCCGATATTTGAGGCAACGCTTTTGATGAGGATTTCGGGCGAATCAGAAGTCGCCGAGAAGTGTTGTCCGCTCTGAGTCTGAGGAACTAAGAGGGCAGTCATGGTTCCATAGGTCCATAGTTCCATAAGGTGAAGGAATGAACTGTCAAGGCCATTCACTGTGCATAGAGCAATCTTCTCGTGATGCCACATCATTGCATTTGCTTTGCCTTTCTTGAATTCGCAGACTTGTCATGATCGAGTATTACAAGACCGCATGAACCTCCGTCCCCACCATCTGTGCTAAGGGGTCTCCCTTCTGCAAGCAAGACGTTGAGCATACAACACTTCGTTTAGACATCAGAACAGAACAGGCCTCAACGGTCAGAAAGAAACAACAAAGCAAACAAGTTATACAATGAATCTTGTTCAAAGAGATCTCAACTTGTTTGTTTGTGTCATTGATAGCAGCGATTCTTCATCCCATCGACCTGCTTCTACCCACTATCATCATCCTCATCCTCATCCTCATCCTCATCATCTACATCTACATCTACTACTACTACTACTACTACTACTACTACTACTACTACTACTACTACTACTAC